CCCCCGCCTGTGGCAGGTGGTGTGAACTCGATGGGCTTCAAGGTCCCTTCCAACCCAAACCAGTCTGTGATCCTACAATTCCACCTGGCAAGATAGGGAACATTTTCCATTAACCAAAATACATCGCCGGCATGTACCAGTGGTTTTCCTAACTACAAGGCAAAATGCAATTCAAAAGTGTTCATCCTTGCCCAAGATGTGCCATCTTAGTAAGAAAGCAATAATGGGCCCAAAAAAGGAAGAAAGTCCCTGATAAAATGAAGCCAACTGCCCTGCAGTTGCAGCAATACAAAAACAAGTGCTGGCCAGTTTTTTAAATACATGCACATCTGTATACACTTGTGTACACACTCATGAGCCTGAAGAGGGTTGTGGTCTACATAAGCTGCATTTAGCTGGTCTGTAAGATAGCAAAGCTGGCTAGGAATGCTAGCTAGGCATTAATATCCTCTTGTCTTGCCCCCTCCCTTCTTTTAGTAGATGGTACACCAACTTGAGAGAAACACCAGATACACCTCATGGGGCCATCAGATGCGGACTGGTTTCCACCCTGGAAAGGCATCTCACCACATCCCCACACTGCAGTGTTACCACCAGCCCAGGAGACCTGCTGCACAACCTGCACTCCTCCCATGCCACGTATTTCTCCCAGTGACGAAATGTCCAAATGCAGACCCCCAGCCTCTGTCACCCTCCTCCCTTCACTATTAAAACATTTTCACACTGCCCTATCTCCTTTACAGTTTCCCCTGGTGACTGCTAAATTTGGATCTGGATTTCAAATCCCTTAGTAATCCAGATGCTTATACAGAAGCAAGAGGGTTCTGTAGGAGTCTTGGTTTTGCTTTTAACAGTCGGTGTTTTAATGGCATTTCAGAGCATCCTGCTGAGGCTGGAGGAAGCAAAGGTGGCTGGTCTGCTCAGGTACACTTCATCTCCAGCCAAACTTCTTCTGGCTTCATCAATGAAAGTCTCTTGTCACGCCAGCCAGATCTGGAATAGTTCAAGTCCTCTTTGAGAACTACACTCCCAACCCCCAGACCCAAAACCCTAGTCCTTGCAACCTTCACAGTCCTGCTTCTGATCCCTGCCTGTGCCAGAGGTGTCTGGCCACCTCTAGGTGCTCCTTAGGGGCTGAAGAGCTAAGGGAGTGGTCCACAGCTCTTCCACAACCACCACAGTAGAGACACAGAACTAAACCAAGGGATTTTGTCCTACTGGTAAACACAGAGAAATCACAAAACTGATATATTGCAAAGAAACCTCAGTTTCTCATTTTCTTCATCATTTTTTGGCTGACTGCAGCAGCCCCTCCTCATATTCCTCTTTCATCTGTGCTTTTATAATCACCAGCCCACAAAAATATGCCGTCTCAGACCACTGAATAAAAGTAAATTTTTATTTCTGTATTTGAGCTTATCTTCCCAGGATGTGACGGACCATTACTCCAGCTCAGATGTTGCCCAGTCTTAAATCACTGCCCACAACTCCCACTGCAGTCAGCTTGGGTCCTCTGCAAGGGCAGTTTTCCAGAACTTTGAGATATTCATGACAGGCAGATACAACCTTGTGCTTTGAATCCCCACATTTTAGAGGGCGCTTAGGTTCATCCTAAAAATATTGCAGCATAACTTAACCACCTGTAAACATTAAGCGCTGCCTGCTAATTGACAGGTACAATATTTACCGAGGGTTACAAACCAGCAAACAGCCTGGCAGATTTGTTTATACATAGTGATAGTAATGCCAAGTGCACAGACCAAGATACAGGAGATGAAAGCAAGCCTGAAGAAGGGTTCTGACACATGCACACAAACCAGTAACACAGGAATCTCCTGACTGGTTTACTTGACAAACAGTGTTTGTTTCGCCTCTCATTTCACAACCTAGCACTGCTGCTATTAGCAGCACACAGAAAACGGGGGAACAATCGTTCCTCCAACTCATGTTAGAGGAGGAACCCTTAAAACAAATGACGCTGAAGACGCATAGATGCCTCAAAAGCACTCCCAACATCCCCAAGGCATCAGCTGCGAGCTGGCCGCTGGGTTCAGTACAGCACTGGCTGAAAATACGCATATTCAGTCCAAACTCTTCTCCCCTGTTTTGGTTACAGCTTCAAACTTACTTTCTACAGGGAGAAAAAAAGGTATTTTCTTGGACTCCATGTTCCAATTTCAGTCATTCTCCACTCTGTGTCCTGGGGCAGAGGAGAGGGAAGGAGCAGTGGGAAGGACAGTGAAGTCCTGCACCGGTCACTGAGCAGCTTCTCCAAGCCTTTCCTCCCACCTGAAGCTGGCCACTTCCAGCTCCACTGCAGGCTGGCTCTTGTCCTCTCAAAGCAAACATAGTGCTCCTCAAAGGCACGGGACTGACAGCCCTGGATATTCAATTAGTCAACGTGCGGAGGAGATGAGGAGCATGGGGCGGGCAGTGGGGATGGAGCTGCTTTCCCCATGGAGATGGTGCCCTGCCAATGCACCTCATCCCTGCTCGGGAGGAGATAACTCATCCTGCGGCTGCAAGGAGTTTGGCTCATGCTTTGAAGTCTGGAAGGAGGCTACAACTTCTGACACGACATCCTGGATGCTGTTTTCAAAAGACTCCTGACACGGCTGGATCTCACATGCCTGAGTGCCAGGTCACGCTTTGAAAATGGAGCTGGAAGTGAGATTTGAGGCTCCCAAGTGTATTTATTCCTTGCTCCTTTTTTAAAAAAAAAACAAACAAACAAAAAAAAAAAAAAAAACAAAAAAAAAAACCAAGACTCTATTTTGAAAATTTTCTTCACTGTCACTATTCAATACTTATTAAGAAACTGAATAAAGGCACTCATTAGTGTGATAGCAACTACCCCACAAATGCTGAAGTGATGGGCTTCTAAAGGTTCCCTCACCCTTAAAAAGCAAAGGATGAGCAAGGCGTGCTATTCAGGTTCCAGCTATCCATATTTCTCCTCATCCATATGTCAGGAAAATGTACTGACAAACAGAGGTCATATTTCTAAATAAAGTATTAAGAGGGAGCAGGGAGAATTAAAAGAAAGAGAGAGAAGCAATTTTACTTAATGACTGTGCCTCCCAACAGACTCCATGACAGATACACCAAAACTGAACAGATTATAGTTCTTAAATTTCCAGCAACTCAACTACACTTTTACATTTCATGAAGCCACCTTGTATGTGCTTTGCATTAAAAATGTACTTATTGCTCACATTGATACATATATGTTCTGAATTTAACAATTTACTTCAGACCAAAATGACCCAAACCATGAAGGTACCACTAGCACGAGATGGCTCTGGATCAAGAGCTTCTTTTTCAGATGCATATATATAGGCTTTCCACTTCCTCAAAACAAACTCTGATCATCTTCATTTATAACATGTGTTTAATTAGGTGTCTTCAGAACAGATTCAAGAAGTTTTTATATGGACCAGAGCTTTCAAAATACTGTACAATTTCTTTATGTAAACTTGTAATGTATTCTTTCAGAAAGACTACAGTTACAAGGCTTGCAGAACAATACACAAACATCCCTTTCTTTTCCACGAAATCCAATGTGTCTCCCTGATGGGAAGAGCACATTTTCGCAATTACCTTTCTTTAGGACCCACATTTTTTAAAATGGGTTTTAGCCCCTCCAATGTACTTTACATTAAATCTGCTTAAGTTCACAACCACCATCACCACCACCCTGCAGTAGTATTGGGGAGCACTAATTCAGAGGACACGTTTAAACTCGTGCTTTTCTCAACAGAATTTAGCGATGAGATGTCCTCTTGTACTGCTCTGTTACCAGCTTTGAAGTCTTAAAACCAAAACCAGCTGCTGCAGCAAGCCCCAAGCCTAGTAAAGCAGCATTCATCTGTTTATACTATCAGTGTCTCTGGAAAGATTGGCAGACAGCTTTTCTGGTGATAGATGCATACTGAAACCTGATCAAGGCTCGGGATGTTTTTCTCCATCCAGCAATGCTGCAATTCTAGCCAGGCAACAAACCCCCAAGATCTCCATTAGGAAGAAGAGAGAAGCAATGAAAGCCCCAATACCACTGTCATCCCAAACATTAACAAATCGTCCATCTCATCAACTCAGAGAAAAACTCACAATAACTTCCATGTGGTCCCCAAACGCTGGCCAAGCAAGTTTTGAAACACTGTGGCCTGGTGCACGAAAAAGGGAAGCTGAAATTCCAGCGTTAGCATGAGCTTTAAGGTGCCACCAAGCTCAGACAAAATGAAGCCCCAAAAGACAAAATGACAATCTTCCACTGACACCTCCTGCCCCGATGGTGTAAGGCCATCAGTTGTCTCAACAAAAGAAATCCTGAGGCTGGCCCTGGCACGTCGGAGGTGTAAGGATGTTCTGCTCCATCCCAGATGCAATATGACAGAGGTTTCTCACCATTATTATTTAACTCTCTAATCATTCCTGCCCCCATTTTTGGGCCCTATCTCACGGCTCAGTGCTGCTACAGCATGGGTTGTCACCCAGAGAGGCCCAGCCTGAGGCAATTCACTTGCACGCCCGATGCTTCCTTCTCTAGAAAACCCCAATGCAGACGTACCTGGGCAGACTGGTCACCTATGTCTGGTACACCACCATCTGACAGCCGGCACCGGTACTGTCCCCCAGTGCCCTGAAGCTGCTCTTCCCCGTTGCTTTCTGCTTCTGAGGTCTCTGGCTGAGTAACCTCCACCTCCATCGGGGTGCAGTGCCCGTTCCCGTGCTCTGGGGCCAGCTTTTCTTTGCTGTCCTTGCTGCCTGGTGTTCTGGTGATGACCCCAAACTTCCTGGTCCTTTTTCCATTTTGAGCAGCCCTGTCGCTGGGTTCGGGGCTGGGCTTGGCTTTGGGGTCACAGCTGTTGCTGTTGTTGCCGTTGGAGGGAGGAAGAGGGGCTTTGCGCTTGATGCGGCGCAACATGATCAGGTAGACGAAACCGCCATTCCAGCACTGCTCGGCCAGGTAACTGCAAGGAAAGGGATGTGAGGGATTACTGACGACTCGCCCCGTGGTGCCCGCCTCCCCCCACAGCACCCCAACACGCTGCGCCCCATGGTGTTCATGCACCTTCTCAGGCAGCTGATTACTCAGTGTGTGGATACATCAGGACACCACAATGCGCCGGTGAACACTCTCTTCCTTCAATATAAGGAATAATACCAGAATAATAACAGCCCTACCAATCATCCATACTGATCCCACCGCAGCATAATAGGACAACTGGTAAATGCCACCAAACCTGTTCCCGCCACCCAACCTCCAGACCAGCATCATGGCAACATAAAAAAGTGAAGCAAGAAAAGAAAAGCAGAGAGTGTTTACAATGGGACATTAAAATAAGCAAATAATTTAAAATAATATTATAAAATTAGGCAGGCTTCATTTGTGCAGCAGCCCATAGAGCATTTGCATCTGAAATGAGCCTCCTTAGTGAAACTCATCTTCTGCTTCGGTGTATGTACATGCTTTGAAGGCCTCAGGGAGAAAAAATTTAATAAATCAGTCACTGGGGTAAGCAGGCATAGCACTTACAGCAAAGCATGGCACTATAAGGCATCCCAGCTCCTGTAAGGGGCATGGAAATAAGGGGGGTTTCCTTTACAACAAACATATTACAGTCAAAGCAAAAGCCAAGTCACCTCAGCTGTGCAACAAGCAGCCACCCAGTTCTTGCACTGGAGCAAAGCAACACCTCCTCTCCTCAAGTCTCTGGACATGGCTTGCAAGAATTTACATTCTGCTTCAAGCAAATACTCAGTGACCTTACAGAAACTGCACCCATTGATGCAAAAGGGGACTCAAACTTCATGCCTCTTTTGGGAAAGGACATACCTCAACCCAAATTCTTGAAATATTCGGGTTCTGAGCCAAGGGTGTAACCAACTGAGAGTACAAACAAGCTGGAATTTGTACTTAGCAGGTTTGTATGTGCCCTTTCACACTCATTTAGGCCCCAAAACATACTGTCTTTCTCACTAGTGAAAGCAGCAAGGATTTCCTAGAGCATCGAATAAGCCTCTGCTGCTGATGCAATGAACTCTTCATTAATACAGAGCAGTTGCTGAACCTGCAGCTATCAGGGAGACGAGAAACTAGGTGTGGAGTTAAACCACAGAAGATCCTAACAGAAAACACCACCACACTTGAGGCTGAGAGAAAGCAGTGACTCAGGCACACTCCAACAACCTTTTTTTCTTCCCTGGTGCCTGTAGGCTGATTTCCCCCTTTCCTTTCTTAAAAGTTGTTTGGCCTTTAATAGAACCCTTCAGACTTACTCCTGCACAGAGGTGACTTAATGGCAAAACAGGAAAAACGGCTATGATAACCCCTGAAGCAAACTTCTGGACAGAGGAGTAAGGAAAGCACTCTCAATTAGTCAAAGTAATCTGGATGAGCCTGGCAGTGGCTGGAAATAACATGGTGTGTGTGTGTGTTTCTGTCTAAGGACATAAGCTAAGAGTTTCAGTCCACTTCTTCCCAAAGCTTAGATGTTCCCTGCAGACACCACCAGCATTCAAATCACTTATGTTTAATTAGGAAGACCAATGCCCAAATGAATACGGCAACTACATAACTTTAAAAGCAGCCCTGGAGCAACACAGGGGAAGGACAGAAAATTGGCTGTGCCAAATTTCCCCAATGAATATAAACCAGACTCCAACTCGCTGGATGGTCCACCCAGCAGTTTTCACCAGGCAAGTCTTCTCCTCCCACCTTTTTTTTCTTTTTCCTTAAATGTTAAGGATATTTAAATAACACCATAAAACTATCTTGTTTCAAACCATCTGAATGCAGACAGCCATTGAGCCCCACTGGCTGGAAAGTCTTTGCAGCCAAGGTCAGCTGTCTGGGTGGCCAGGAGGTGACACTTGGCTCAGGGATGCACCCAGGGCTGGCAGGACCTAAAGGGTTAGCCTAAAAAAAAACCAACTCAGAACTAACATGGAAGTATTTCTTGATTATCAAGTTAAAAGAAAAATTCTTCTAATCAACAGGAAAGGGGCATTTTTGTTCCAGAAACAATAGGGGCTGCCTGTTTTTCACATTTATCTTTCAACTCAAATTTCAAGGCAGCCAGTAAAGTTGATTAAAATTCATGACTTTTGCTTGCAGCAATACCACTGCACTCTGATCCATCACCCATAAGCCTGATAGCACTGCTTCTCCTGGCACACGTAAACAGAAAAGCAGCTCCTCTTCCATAGTCCTGTGACTTACACGGGTGCTGCCCACCCTGTTTTTATGCAGAGTCAGTTCTGCCTGACTCTGTCAGTTCAGCTTGTTTTCGTGCAGGTGCACATATGGTGGTTGGGTTTTTTTTAAACACCAATCTCTATCTCTGAACTAATCACTGATGTATTTTTGAGTGCCAGTAACCAAGTACTTGCATTAATCAACTACTTGATTTAGGAACTAAGGGGAATGAGAGAGAACTTAGCGTATGTCCAAATAAAGTAATCTGAATAGAGGCAAAAATAATTTACTATTTCACCTCCACTTATGGCACATTTATACTGTTCATCAAGCGTAAAGCTATGAAAAGGAGAGAAAGAAGGGAGGGTTTTTTTAATATCTACTGTTCACAGACCGTGAACATCCCTACAGTCTGGAGCAGGGTTACAGTGAGCTGTAATAGATGCAGCTGCGCTGAAGTCAGTGGAGGCGTGCTGATTTACTCCATATGTTGAGGTGGCCTGCATGTTCCAGGCATGCAGCCTGTAGTAACTCATGGGTTTATGTCTTCTTGAGTACTCCTCAGCAGTTCAAAGCTCACAATAAGTTTCCATTAAAAAAAAAAACAACAAAAAGAAGTCTTCCCTGGGTCAGCGAGCAACTACCTTTGCATGGCAGCAAGTGATAGCATACATCAGATTTTGTCAGGTATTTCCGGACAGGGTAAATCCAGCTAGTACCACTGATGCAGGAAGTGGCATCAGTATCTCAGAGTCTGTTGTGAACCAAAGACCAGGCATCCTGTACTGGAAAATCAGTGCTACTGTAACACCAAACTCATACAACAAGACAGGAAACTTAATATTCTAAGTGAAGCCTGAACCACCTTTAAATTTTGCTAAGTTCATGCTGCCTACTTAGCTGGCTTCCTTTTCCTTTGACATTCCTTCCCCTGTTGAAGTAGGAAGCCAGAAAAAACTCAGAGAAGCACAGCAACCTCTCAACACTGGATGAAAGATGGGAAGAGTTGTATTAAAGGAGTGAGAACCTTCAGATTTTTAATTACTTTCTATCAGTCCAGGAGCATCCCATGCCAGAAGGGAGTAACGGGATGGATTCAATAAAATGTAATTATACAGCCTCTAGACTGAATAAAACTGCAAAAGCTAGACAGCACCCCAAATCCCATTTCTCAGAGGGTTTCATATGCACAATGCAGACAAGCCTTTTTTTAGACTTGGTCCCTGTAGAGCGCTCACAGAGATTTTAGCAATCAATACACCAAACGTGTCTCAGGCATGATTAGAGCTGATGAGTACACGTGGCTCTCAGCACAGATGTGGGGAATCAGCTGCAACCTCCACGTTGTCTCTTAGTTTGAACACAGTCTCCATCTCGGATGGAGAAGGTGTACAGAGCAAAAATATCCCTAATGCAGCTTTGATTGATCCAAATTTAATGAAAACTGAGACTCTAAAACTTACTTTTCCCCATTTTGATTTGCAGGGGAGGGAGTAGGATTTAGTGAAAGCCCAGGATCTTATACACCAGCTAAGAAGCCTTGGGCAGCTACTCCTAGGGCCAGCAGATGACAACACATAACAAATCCTATCATCACTGATTTTAAGAATGCAAGAGATTTTACTAGCTTATCATACATCTGTTAGTATTAATTATTAAAACATAATATTTTACCAGCAAAACACCCATCCACACTTTCTGCATTTGACATTCTTTGAAAGGTAGTGTCAAGTATCCTCAGCACAGCTTGGAGTCCCCTAATGCTGCAGCAGCATCTCCCCAAGCAGTGTCTAAAACATCAGCTTCGAACCACTTCTCACTGGGGTGCCCAGAAGGAAGGACCACCCAGCTGCTCCTGCTGCTTTGATCGCACCCTGTTACCAGTGCTGGTTAAACCCCAGCCCATATAAAACACCACCCCAAGCAGCGGGGCAGACTTGTTCTTCTCTGTAGGAGAGAAACCATGAAAATGTTAATAATCCTTAAAACCAAGGGATTTGTTAATGTTAATAATCCTTAAAACTATTTTACATTTGAAACTGAGCTGGAAAGTTACCTCTTGCAAAGCTCAACCACAGGTAGGAAAAACGGAACTCGTGGCTTGTATTGAGGGGCATTTAATACTCTTTTTGTGTCAGAATTACCAAGAGATGGACTCTTCCATTTCCATTGGAGATGACATTGACTGACGCAGCCAAATCCCGTTTCTCCCCTATGCAACTGAACTGATTGCTGTGATCATAAAAACTGATAAACTTGCTGAGTTTATTCCAAGTTCATCAGCACGCGTCTGAAGTGTCAGACTTGGAAATGCTATCTTAGAGTAAGCCAGTTGTTTTATCATTTTTATATATATATGTTTGTGTGCGCGCATGTATAAAGGTTTGCAGACTTGACAAGAGCATGCTGCAACAAGCTCTCTGTCACATCCCATCTCACTTGAACAAATGCAGACAGCCACACTACGCTACAGAAAAACCAAAGCAGATCCAGCAGCCATTAGAAAAGCATCTGGATCCACTTTAGGATCA